GCCTGTTTTTGGAAGAAAATGCCCAAACGGAAAAACCCACTTACTCAGGGGGAAAAAGGGACTCCCAGGACATAAGCCCATAAAGACAGGCTTACTTTGTTGATGGTGGGCCCAAAGTAAGGGTGATTCAAAGTGAAGCCTTTATTAGTGTATCACTCTGAAAACCCCCCCGAGCGTTCAGGCCCAAAAAAATGTCCTAAAGGGTAATTTTTTTTGGGGCTGTGGAGGGCAAACAGTAAGGGGATGGGGACTAGGGGAATTTTTTTTTATAAATGGTTACACCATGCATTTGCCCCCAAAAGTGAAAAATTACCTAACTGAAAAAAATTGAACTTAAGTGCCTTCCCGGTGTTTAGACCCAAAGCCCCCGGTCCCCTACAACGGGTCCCCCGCGGGCTTTTTTGGGGGAAAATGACTTATTTAAAGGGAATTTTTTTCCTCCTAATTTCCACTCCTCTCCTGCAAACCCATGGACCCGCAGGTTTTTTTTCCCAAATTCAAAAACTGTCACAAAAAACCCGTTTTAAAAAGGGGCTTTGTAATTTACCTCCGAAAATCAAAATACTCTAAGAGAGTTTTTGGAGAGTACCCCCCCTTTAAAATCCTCCAATTGTGTAAACCTTATAGGGAAGGCTTGGGGGAAAATGACAAAGGGACCTTGAACTCTGCTTGGAAAAAAAACTGTGGCCCGAATGGTAGACAAAAGGGGTTTTTAAGGGTTTTAGGGTAACCCTGAAATCCTGTGCCAGTTGAGGAATCCATTTTGGGTTTGGGAAAATCCTTTGGGGGTTGAGGTTAGGGGGAGGGGGTGGAAGGTTTTGGGGGAGGAGGGCAATGAAGAAAATAACCCCGATGAGCTGCTAGATCAACTTCAACCAAGGGGGCCAAAACCTGAGGGGAAAATTTCTTCGGAGGGGGGGAAAGAGAAATTGGGAAAAAGTTGGGCCCACTTCCCAAAAATTAAGGAAAACTGTGAAAGTGGCTTTAAGTGCAAAACCCTTCCCGGGTGAAAAATTTCCCCCACCAGCTATTGCAAGCCGTGCTTTGGGGATTATTACCTGACCCAAAGTTTTTGAAACAATTTTGGGCAAGTCATAAAGGAAAGAAGGGACAGGCCAAATATGGACAGTATCTTGTCGAAAGAATCCAAGTTTTTCTCGAAACTGGCCCTAGTGGCAAATTAAAAAAAGAAGGGGGTAACCCCCAAAAAAGGGCCTTTCTCCTCAAGTTAATGGAAGGGGATCCCCCTAAAAACTAACCACTCTCTCCCCCCCTCCCAAACCCATCAATCAAACACCAGTTTTTCAAAAAAAGTAAGTGTCATTTAATTGGCATGCCTTTTTCAGTTTGTTGTATTAAAATTAACATTTCAAGTGGGAAAAAAAAATTTTTTTTTTATACTTTTGGGGGCTTGCACGGATTAATTTTTTTTCCCCTTAAATTTTTTTAGGGGGAAAAAATTTTTTTATTCGCATAACGATTATTTCGCATAACGTTTAGCCTCTTGCACGGGTTTTAAAAACGTTTTAAACCGGGGGGCCACTGTAAAAAATAATAATAAAAATAATAATAATAAAATAAATCTTTAATTTTCTACAAATAATGACAAGGATACAGTCCTAGCTGACAAAAATGTAATTTTTTTACTATATAGGGAAAATCCCTTGTTATCTCGCATTTCGGGCAAATTAGGGCCCGTGTCCCCCCGGGGTGGGGGACCCAACCGTCGACTAAAACCCAAGTACCCATTTTTTCTGATGGGGGAAAAATAGAAAAACAGGGGGAAAGAAAAATGTCCAAAGTTTTTTACTTGGCTGGGGTTGGAAACCCCGGCCCTCGTGTGTGAAGGGGAGGGCCTGGGTTCGATTCCCACCAGAGTAAAAAAAACCCTTTGGGCATGTTTTCTTTCCACCTGTTTCTATTTCCCCATCAGTTTAAAAAGGGGGAAACCGGGTGTTTGTCGACTGGTGTGGGTCGCATCCCGGGACATGACCTAATTTGCCCAAAAAGCAGGCATAAAAAGGGAGTTTCTATTAGAAATAAAGTCATTGTTTTTCAGTTTTGGACATATACTTGTAATGTACTTGTATAAATAAAAATATTTTTATTAAATTTTAAATTTTTATTATTATTATTTTTTATTATTTTTATTATTATTATTATTATTTTTTTTATTTTTATTATTAAAAATATCTCTTAATAACCCAAAGGGTTAAGAAGAGTAAAAAAAATGGAAATTTCAACTTAGATAACCAGTTTTAGTAAAATACTTTTTCTCCAAGAAAAAAAAAACTTTAAAAAAAGTAAACTAAACAGATGCATGGCTTTTTTTGACTGTTTTTTGGGTGGGTTTTTGCCACAGTTTGTCATTCCTGGTGTTGATAATTTTTTCAAGCTGAGGATTTTGTTTTCCCAGTTTGTCATCCTGGGTCTTTTTTTGTTTTTTTTAGCGTCTCCCCGAAGGTTTTATTTTTTCAATAACTAAGGTTTGGGGAAACGATTTAGGGTTAAAAGGGGGTCGTTGGTCAAACCCCTGAGAGACTATTGGTAGGTTTTAATCTGGGGAAAAGGGGGGGGGATGGGCTGGTGGCCGCCATTTTTTGTTGTTATTGTTTGGGGGTTTTGGCCTTGAGCGGGGTGAGTGGGGGGTTGCTGGGGGCCCGGGGTCCCCCGGCCTTTCACTTGGTTTAAAAAGTTTATTTTTCAGTGTTTTTTTTGGGCCTTGGGGCTGTTTCCTTTTTTGATTCGCCCATAAAATACAGGGGAAATTTTTGTAGTTAAAAAAGTTGTTGGTTTTAAAAAAGCTTTTTGGGGTTTTGTTTTCTTGGGTGGGGAGTGGGGTGTTTTCCTTTTGGGGTTTTAAGGCAGTCTTCCTTTGATCTCTAATATTTTCGGTTTGTAGGTTTCACTGTTGGTAATCTTTGGTCATTCTGGGTGCTACGTTGGGTAGTGCAGTTTTGCTTGTAACTAGGTCATCATAGGAGCATTGGTGGCTCTGATAGTTGGAGAAAAGTACGGAGCTTGGAGGTCGCTGCTGTTGCTACCGCTGCCGCTGAAATTGGCCAAATTGCCAATTTCTGACCACTTTATTGGGTGGTTGAAATCAGTAAATGAATAGTCTCAGTTGATAGAACAAATTGAGTTTTAAAGAAATAGTTATGAGTTTGGTTAACTGGAATGATGGAATTGGCCGAAAATAGGGCTCAAAGTGGGCGAAATCGGCGATGCATATTGCCGAGATCACTAACTTCATGAGAGTGTAATTCCATAAGCTTTCCCTCAAATTTCATACTTTTGGTGTCACTGCCATCGGGAAAAGATTTTCTATCATTTCATAAGAAATTTTTTTTTTTTTTTAACTAATTTTCAACACAGGGAGACAATTTCAGAATTGGGGTCGCGATGGTCAAAGGGTTAACCTCTTAGCAGCGTTTATGAAATCTTTTATTTCTGCCATATCTTCCTTTGAAATATCTGGTCCAGTTTGTGTATCTTCTTAACTGTCCAGTTCCTTGATGTCCTTAGTTTTATTTTGAAGTTTTTTATGTGTAATCTATGTAAATGTTATTTATAGTGGCCCATGAATGCTATTCATAGTGGCCTATAAGTATTGTGGCATATAGGCGTATTTTCCAATATGCCTTTATGCCACAAGATGTTCTTGAAAACTGATATCCACAATGCATTTTATCATCTCATTTATGTGTTCTTCCTCTGTGATTCTTTTTATTTGTGATTATATTTCTTTTTCAGCACAGGAAAAAGCAATAATCATTTTATCTCTGTCAACAGTGTTCCTCATTAGCTTAAAGATATTTGCAATCTCCTTTTCAATTTCTTCACTAATATTGGCTCTAGCAGTGATTTCTTCAGCTAATATCACATGTTGTTTAATCTCTTTATTTTCTCTAGTGAATTTTGCAAAACTATCTTCAGTCTTATATTTATATTCTTCCAGATCTTTCCTCTCCTTTTCTAAGCTTTTGTTGGCACTCAGAAATATACTGTGCTATCTGCACCTGCTGTTCTAATTCTGACTTATGCTTAGTTATTCCTGCTTAACTATCCTCTAATTTAGTTTTTGAAGTCTACTAAACCTTTCATTTCCTTCCCAGTATTATCCTTATTTATAGATAATTCCTGATCTATCACCTCTTCTTTATTACTTACTTAATATCTTTGATATTTGCTGTGGGGAGGCTTTTAAATCTACTATTTCACTATTTAATGTTTTATTATCCTCATGTATTTCTCAGTTATGCTTCTTGCCTTACTTGAAGTTGTGCAATTTCAGTTATTCTATCCATCCTTCTGCTGGTTTGCTTGTCTACAGGTGTATTGTCAACATGTACACCACTCTACTCTTGTGTTACTCTTTCTTCTTAATCTATTAATTACATTATTCTTACCTCAGAAAATGATTCATATTAATTATTTCCTTCCATTTTTGGGGACACTACTCACATAAAACTCTACTACCTATGCTACAAAACAGGCACAGTTCTTTTTACCCAGGATGAGGTGGCTGTGTGTGTGTACTCACTTATATGTGGTTGCAGGGGTCGATTCACAGCTCCTGGCCCCAAGGAAAGGCATGTGTGCACACACACACACACACACACACCAGGAGCTGGGACTCGACCCCTGCACCCTCAACTAGGTGAGTACACACACATATATATATATATATATTCTCCATGGGGAAGTGGAACAGAATTCTTCCTCCGTAAGCCATGCGTGTCGTAAGAGGCGACTAAAATGCTGGGAGCAGGGGGCTAGTAACCCCTTCTCCTGTATACATTACTAGAGTTAAAAAGAGAAACTATTGTTTTTCTTTTTGGGCCACCCTGCTTCGGTGGGATATGGCCAGTTTGTTGAAAGAAGATATATATATATATATATATATAATATATATATATATATATATAATATATATATATATATATATATATATATAAAAACTGTATATAATAATCTCATGTGTATTTGCTTTAAAGAAGAGAAAGAGCTGAGCATAATGGGTCGAGTGTTAGTAACTGTGATGGCTGGAGTCTCCCTGAGTGAGAGACAGAATGAGGGTAAGGACACTACTCTAGTGCAAGTAACATCACTAGCTACTGCAAGTAACATCACTAGTGCAACTAACACCAATAGCTAGTGCAAATAACACCACTAGCTAGTGCAACTAACACCACTAGGTGGTGCAACTAACACCACTAGCTAGTGCAACTAACACCACTAGCTAGTGCAACTAATATCTTTGCAGCATGCTGATGTATTGAGTGCATGATGTTCCCCAAGCATAGTGCAGTAATTGGTCATTGGACATTTAGGATAACTGTTAACACTATGTACTGTACATGACTGTTAATACTGAGTACTAAACATAACTGTTAACACTATGTACTGTGCATAAATGTTAACACTATGTACTGTACATAACTGTTAAGAAACAGTGTACATGAGAGACAGAGAGAGATTTTGGGAGATGCTAAGTAAGTGTTTAGGGAGTTTTGAATCAAGTGAGAATAATTGTGGTAGGGGACCTTAATGGTTTCTATACAAATGAACTTTGTATGGAAAGAGGTTTGGTAATAGCTAATACACATTTTAATAATAAGAGGATAAGTACGTGAAGTATGACATTGGGCATAATGACAGTTGTCTGTTGGACTGGGTATTGATGGATACTTCTGGATGTGCATGTTTATCAAGGGGCCACAGGTATATCAGATCATTATTTAGTTGTAGCTACAGTGACAGCAAAAGTTTAATGGAGTACAAGGAGAATGGCATCAGCAAGTAAGAGAGAAAGAGAAAGAAAGAGAGGTGAAATTTTATACACTGGGAAGTACAGTGCCAGCACTGTGAAGGAAGGGTGGAAATATTGACAATGTTGAACTGTAGCATTGGTGTGCATCTGGCAAGACAGTGATGGAGTAAGTGATGGTGAAAGTGTTTCTTCTTTTTGGGTCACCATACCTATGTGGGAGACAGCTGGTGTGTTAAAAAAAATTGTTAACACCACGTAGTGTACATCACCACCTCCACAAACAACACTACCATCACCAACACTATAATCACCCCCACCAATGCTATAATCACTACCATCACCAACACTATAATCACCCCCACCAACACTATAATCACTACCATCACCAACACTGTCACCACTATCACCACCACTATCACCATCTTCACCACACCTCCACCGCCACCACCACCACTATTATCACTACCATGACCATTATCACTACCATGACCATTATCACTACCATGACCATTATCAAAAACACCATTATCACCACCACCATTACCACCATCACCATTATCACCATCACCCCCACCATCACCACCCTCACCAATCACCACCCCCACCATCACCAACCCCTACCATCACCACAGCCACCAACCACCCCACCATCACCACCCCACCATCACCCCCCACCATCACCACCCCACCATCACCACCCAACCATCACCCCCTACAATCACCACCCCACCATCACCACCCCCACCATCACCACCCCCATCATCACCCACCCCCATCATCACCACCCCACCACCACCACTACCCCCCACCATCACCACCACCCACCATCACCACCACCCAATCATCACCACCACCCAATCATCACCACCCCCACCATCACCACCCCCACCATCACCACCCCACCATCACCACCCCCACCATCACCACCCCACCATACCACCCCCACCATCACACACCCCCATCCTCACCACCCCCATCATCACAACCCCACCATCACCACCCCACCATCACCACCCCCACCATCACCACCCCAACCATCACACCACCCCAACCATCACCACACCCACCATCACTACCCCACCATCACCACCCCCCCCACCACACCCACCCTCACCATCACCAAACCACCATCACCACCCCACCATCACCACCCCACCAACACCACCCCCCCACCATCACCACCCCCACCATCACCACCCCACCATCAACCACCACCACCATCACCACCCCCACCATCACCACCCCCACCATCACCACCCCCACCATCACCACCCCCACCATCACAACCCCACCATCACACCCCCACCATCACACCCCCACCATCACCACACCCCACACCATCAACACCCCCACCATCAACACCCCCACCATCACACCACTCCCACCATCACTCAACCCCCCATATCAACCACTCCCACCATCACCACCCCCACCATCACCACCCCCAATGTCAACACCACCCCCACTATCACCACCCCCACCAATCAAACCATGCCCACCATCACCACCCACCCACCATCACCACCCCCACCATCACCACCCACACCATCACCACCCCCATCCTCACCATCCCATCATCACCACCCCACCATCACACCCAACATCACCACCTCCCACCATTCACCACCACCGTAACACCATCACCACCCCACCATCACCACCCCTCACCATCACCACACCCCCACCATCACCACCCCCACCATCACCACCCCGACTGTCACCACCCCCACCATCACCACCCCCACACCACCACCATCACCACCCCCACCATCACCACCCCACGCATCACCACCCCCACCATCACCACCCCCGACTGTCACCACCCTACCACCACCACCACCAGCACACCATCACCACCACCACCACCACCACCACCACCACCACCACCATCACCCACTACCACCACCTCCATCACCACCCCACCATCACAACCCCCCACCATCACCACCCCACTATCACCACCCCACCATCACACCACCCCACCATCACCACCACCCCACCATCACCACACCCCACCATCACCACCACCCCACCATCACCACCACCCCACATCACCACCCCCACCATCACCACCCCCACCTCACCACCACCACCACCACCACCACCATCACCACAACCACCACCACCCCACCATCCCCCCACCATCACCACCCCCACCATCACTATCCCCACCATCACCCACCCCACCATCACCACCCCACCATCACCACCACCATCACTGCCCCACCACCACCCCACCATCACCACTACCACCACCCCCATCACCACCCCACCACCACCACCACACCATTACCACCACCACCCCATCACCACCACCACCACCACTACCACCACCATCATCTCCACCATCACTACCAGCACCATTACTACAACCTACCATCACCACCACCACCATCACCACTAACACCACCATCACCACTAACACCACCATCACCACTAACACCACCATCACCACTATCACCACCTACCATCACCACCACCACGTTAGTTATGGTAAAGACAATGCCACCATTGTCATCATTGTCACCATCACCACCACCACCATGATAGTGGTTGTGATGACAATGACAGTGCCACTGACATTGTCACTGTCATCATTACCATTGTCATCACCATTATCATCATTGTCATCACCATCATCTCTCACTTCACTTGTAATATTCATTATTTTACTTGTGTTCACACTAATGGTTTCTTGAAAATTTCCCATTATTATTACCCAAGATTATCAAAATACAGTTTGCATACTTTTTTTTTTTTTGCTGGATTGTGTTTTTATTCATGCATTATATTACAAAGGTAAAGATGAGTAAATTATTGCATGATTGCTAGCAGTGCATGATACACTCTGTCTGTATTTTCATGTAACCCTTCAAGTTTGTTATTATATTTATTCTATATTTTCTGCTAAGAAAGAATATTAAATTTTTTTAAAATTTTTTCTTTTGGATGTTTATTAACCTTTTTCCTTTTATCCTCAGAGCTGTAGCTTAATTAATTATGATGTTGCACTGCTTATTGATGGTACCAGTAACTTGAAGTGCTCTGTCTTACTCTACCAATAAACTAACCTGCATGCTGTTCCATAGTTCGTGCTAGACGACCCCAGGGACTCCTCCGTACACACATACTCAGCGGAACTAAGCTTGATTCTTGGGGCAAAGGTATCTTGTAACCTAGACACCATCTACTCTATTTTATAAGCCACTTTTGCTAATTAGTTACTTGGGGACTCTCATTTGTTCATGGTGCATTAGTAGGCTTTGCTAAATACCCATATTTATGAAAATGTCAGATTTTGCTGACATATATCTAGACAATAAACCAGAATTGAATATATGATTTCTAATTTGCCCATTTGCAAGTTTTCAAAAATGCAGTGATTATCAAAACATTATCAGACAGTCATTATTTTGAAGGTGCACTGAAGGCTTCAGAGTTACCACTGAACATAAAGTGTGCAATATAGGTGGTGGTTTCTGTGTAGGTTACATTTTGTGAGAGGCATGGCAGTCATGCAGACACTGCTACTGTGAGAGGCATGGCAGTCATGCAGACACTGCTACTGTGAGAGGCATGGCAGCCATGCAGACACTGCTACTGTGAGAGGCATGGCAGCCATGCAGACACTGCTACTGTGAGAGGCATGGCAGCCATGCAGACACTGCTACTGTGAGAGGCATGGCAGCCATGCAGACACTGCTACTGTGAGAGGTGTGGCAGCCATGCAGACACTACTACTGTGAGAGGTGTGGCAGCCATGCTGACACTGCTACTGTGTACCTTGAGGCAGGTGTTTGATACTGACTGTCATATCTCACTTATTGTGCAGACATGTAGTACAGAAGAAAAGAACAGATAAGAAAGGTGAGCCTATCACTTTAATGTAGACACTTGACTCGGGAAATCGTAATGAGATGATTGCAAACAAACCATACCACAGGTGGGGCTTCAACCTGCAGTTAGAGAGTCACAAAACTCCAGACCGACACATTAGCTACTGGGCTACCTGCAGTGTCAACACAGTGGTCTAAGCCTCTACAACATGCTACCTGCAGATAAAAATATTGCCAGAGCACAGGTATATGTTTTCAAGAAGAAACTGGACCACTGCTTGTTGAAAGTGCCTAATTCAGCAAAGTTGTGATGAATATGTATGCCTGCAGAATACTAACAACTAAAGTCTGGTCAGTCAAGAAGTCAGGAAATCCAGCCTTAGTGCTGGCTGTGAGAATAGAAAAGTCATCATAAATGGTCACTGGTATGTTTCATGAATTACTAACCAGAATACAGTATTGGAAATACTTTTTCTGGGTGAAAGTCCCACCTTCAATGTAGACTGAATTATTTTTACAGAAACTAATCTACTGTATCAAGTATGACTTTGAACTTTTACATTTAAAGCAGATAGATGTCTGGTGGAAGTACTGAATTTACCTATTGGTTGAGAATTTTTTATTATAAAAATATTACAGTAATAGTCTGCAAAAAAGACACTGTTGCTTGGTACTCTAACATGAGGAATGTTGGAGATCATTCCTACATAACATTAATCAGTCTTGTTTGGTACCTTAGTATGAGAAATGTTGGAGATCATTCCTACATAACATTAATCAGTCTTGTTTGATACTCTAGCATGAGGAATGTTGGAGATCATTCCTACATAACATTAATCAGTCTTGTTTGGTACCTTAGTATGAGAAATGTTGGAGATCATTCCTACATAACATTAATCAGTCTTGTTTGATACTCTAGCATGAGGAATGTTGGAGATCATTCCTACATAACATTAATCAGTCTTGCTTGGTACTCTAGCATGAGTAATGTTCAAGATCATTCCTACATAACATTAGTTAATCTTGCTTGGTACTCTAGCATGAGGAATGTTGGAGATCATTCCTACATAACATTAATCAGACAGTCATGCTTAGTGCTTTGGCATAAGGAATGAAGATCATTCCTCAGTAACAGTCATTCTTCAATTTTGGTGTTTGTCTACACATTTTGATGGTCAAAAGTCATTTATTATATAATAAATTTTATCTGCAAGAATTAGTTTAAAAATATCTAGTGTTTTACCAATGCACTGCATACTATATGTTTTTTACATGCTTGCTTTCTTGTATTTTTATCACAGTAAAATGTTGATTTACCAGACCCTCGTATAACAGATTTCAGATTTAATAAACAACTTTGTTAAATCCAGAATTGTCTATACACTGGGTAAATTATTTTTGGATTTAACAAACAATTTTACCACCTGTCAACTTTACATCAGTTGTATCCCCTTGCTCCATTCTCTTCCCATTCATCCTGTTAATAGATTACATCAATGTTTTACTGTCCTCTTAGTTTGGGTCTCTGTTATTGTGCAAGTTAACATGTAAAATACATTTCAGAACATATTATAAACAACGTATAAACAAATAACCCACACATAGGAGAATGAAACTTATGACAGCATAATAACTTTCATCTCACTATGTGTGGGTCATTTGTGTATTGTTCCAGGCAGGGTATTGTGCCTTTTTATTCATAATAAACAATGTATCTAACACCGACTGTATTTATAATAAGCTAATGTTTACAAAATTTCAGAGTCTGAGGTAAGTACTTTTATACCATACTCATCATGTGTACTAGTAACCATAACTAGCATAATACAGTTGGCTCTCTTATAAAGCTATATACACCTACCATCCGACTTACGACTGAGTTCGGTTCCGAGAAACCGGTTGTAAGTCGAAATGGACGTAAGTCGAACTTTACTACTGAATATCAACATCACATTTTTGTAATGACTTTATTTTATTGTTTTATTTTGGTATTTCATGTTTTACTTAACTTTTTATGCTGTTAGTACTGTATTTTATACTGTAAGGTTTAGGATAAACAATGTGTACAACACAAATAGTTGTTTATTTCCCAGAAATTTGGCATAAAAAACACGGTCGTAAGTCGAGTGGTCGTAAGTCGAGCAGGTTGTAAGTCGAGCAGGTTGTAAGTCGGATGGTAGGTGTATACTGCAGTCTTTTGTAAATGCAATAGAAAGGCCACATTAAAAACTGAATTGAATCAGCATACACACAGTATGAATGAATTTGCATTATGAATGAGCATACATTATGAATGAGTATACATTATGAATGAACATACACACATTGTGAATGAGAATACACATATTATGAATGAGCATACACATGTTATAAACGAACATACACTATAAATGAGCATACACATGTTATAAACGAACATACACTATAAATGAGCATCCACATGTTATTAATGAACATAAAGACAGTACAGTGGTACCTTGACTTACAAGTGCCCCAACTTACAAGTTTTCCAAGTTACTAGCAGTTGCTTGGTTGACTTTGTTTTGAGTTGCAAGCCAAAATCTGAGTTACAAGCGAGCTTCAGATACACCACTAATTGGCGGTGTACCTGAAGTCAAATGTAACTCTGTACCCAGAGGAATGTAAGGTACTTCACCCCATCCCACGTGTGCTTCCACATTACGCATTTATACACGTATTTATACATGTAAATTCTAGCGGCTTCATATCAAGCGGGAGAAAGCTGGTAGGCCCACATGTGAGAGAATGGGTCTGTGTGGTCATTGTGCACCACATAAAAAAAATTCTGCAGCACGCAGTGCGTAATGAGAAAAAAAAAACTCTGACTGTTTTCATGGTCTCAGGTGATAAAATGGAAAACATATTAAAGAAATAGAGATGATTTTGATTACTTTCACAATGAAAACAACCTTGAAATTAAGCTCAAAGTAGCAGAAATGTTCGATTTTTACCAATGTTCAGGAGTAAACAAATCACACCACACTTCCAATACACTTCAACTGGGGAGCCATAACAGTAAATTTTGTATTTTTTTGTATGAATAAAAAATCAAAATAGAAAGCAATAGTAATATAAGAAGGGCCTAGAGACATGACTAATGAACAGAGGATATGTTATTTTAGTGCCAAGAATGTCTACATTGTTTATTCTGGACTCTATTTTGAAATTGGCATCTTTTTTAATTTGCATGAAATTGGCCAAATTGCCAATTTCTGACCACTTAATTGGGTAGTTCAAATCAGTAAATGGGCGGTTTCTTGTACTCAGCAGATAGAAAAAATGGAGTTCTAAAGAAATGGCTATGAGCTGGGTCAACTGGAGCAACAGAATTGGCCAAAAACAGGGCTCAAAGTCGGCGAAATTGCGGATGCGTACATGTTGCTGAGACCGCTAAATTCGCGGGAGCGTAATTCCGTGAGTTTTCGACCAAATTTCGTATTTTTGGTGTCATTACCATCAGGAAAAGATTCTCTATCATTTCATAAGAAAAACAAATTTTTTTTTCCAAAAAATTATCGACATAGAATGACAGTTTCAGAAAGGGGCCTGTGACAGTCAAAGGATTAAGACCCATTCTATGCTGACCAGGCATCTCAGGGCAATTGTGCCAAATTTGGAGGCAGGAAAATTTAAACGTATATATACGTTTGGGGCACTACGCGTAAGAAAGTATATGTATGCTTGCACCATTTAGGGGTTAAGGTGGGTGGAGTACTGATAGTGATGGGTGTAGTCATGGTGGTGGGTGGAGTAGTCATGGTGGTCAGTGGAGTAGTGATGGTGGTGGGTGGAGTAGTGATAGTGGTGGGTGGAGTAGTCATGGTGGTGGCTGGAGTAGTCAAGGTGGTCAGTGGAGTAGTGATGGTGGTGGGTATAGTAGTGAATGTGGTGGTTGGAGTAGATATGGTGGTGGCTGGAGTAGTGAGGGTCGTGGGTGGAGTACTGAAGGTGGTGGGTGGAGTGGAGATGGTGGTGGGTGGAGTAGTGAGGGTCGTGGGTGGAGTAGCGAAGGTGGTAGGCAGAGTGGTGGGTGTAGTGGAGATGGTGGTGGGTGGAGTAGTGAAGGTGGTGGGTGAACTAGTGAAGGTGGTGGATGGAGTAGTGAGGGTAGTGGGTATAGTAGACATGGTGGTGGGTGGAGTAGTGAAGGTGGTGGGTATGGTAGAGATGGTGGTGGGTGGAGTAGTGAAGGTGGTGGGTGGAGTAGTGAAGGTGGTGGGTGGAGTGGATATGGTGGTGGGTGGAGTAGTGAAGGTGGTGGGTGGAGTAGTGAAGGTGGTGAGTGGAGTAGTGAGGATGGTGGGTAT